TATATATGTATATATGTATATATGTATATATGTATATATGTATATATGTATACAGACACACACATATATATATATGTCTTGGAGAAGGTGCGGCGAGAAGCAAAGTTGGCAAAGCTCCGTCTCATGTACTTTGGGCATATTGTGAAGAGGGCTCTTCCTTGGAAAGGAATATCACGCTTGGAAAGGTGGGGAGGGTCAGCACAAAAAAGAGGAAGACCCTCATCGAAATGAATTGACACAGTGACTGTGGCAATGAGCTCAAGTGTGTCAGAGATGATGAGGCTGGCACAGTTTAGAGCTACTCAGAGTCACGCGATGAGTCATACTCAACTTGACTGCACCTAACAGCTGGTCCATTCCAGCACTGGAGCTCTTCCCACCACCGTCCTCGTCACACCTGCCAGCAGTGGGCAAAAACACTGATGCATTCAACAATCACTGATTACAACATTTGCTGTTAATATTCTGCCATATGCTAGACTTTGCACACACACAGATGTGCACACAGGTTAGTGGTTGTTGCTGTACTGTAGAGTCATAACCGACCCACAGCTGACCCTCCGGCAAGTTTTCAGAGGCAGTTAATCTCACGGGAGATTGTCCATTCTCCAGCAGAGCAGCTTGTGGCCTCAAACCACATACCTTCGAGATTGCAACGCAGCTTCTTGCCACTAGGCCACCAGAGCTCCCGACATTGGTTGCTAGGGGTTATCAATTGATTCCGATACTCAGTGACCCCCTGTGTGCAGAATAGAACTCCGCCAGAGATTTCTCAGGTCCGTGACCAGTAGAAAACCACACTGGCAGACAGACCTGTCTGACAGGTACATCTGGGTGGGTTCAGACGTTCAAATTGCCAACCTTTCGGCTATAGTCAAATGTTTAACTCTTTATGCCACTCCAGAACTCCCATGTCCTCTACCCTCGACCTTTGTCGCTGTCGTTTGCCATTGACTAGATAATGACACTATGGGACGTGGAAAACTGCCCCGTAGAGTTTCTGAGGTTGTGTCCTTTATGGAAGCAGATTTTCAGGTTTTTTTCTCCTACAAAGTAGGTGTTAGGTTCAAAGTGGAGCTTAGATTCTCTCTCTCTCTCTCTCTCTCTCTCTCTCACACACACACACACACACACACACACACACACACATATAATGTCATCAATTTATTTATTTTTTTTATAATGTCATAGATTTCGTGCAGCAGCTTTCTGAGAAATAAAATACTTCTAGGAATAAAACACAGAGAGGGCACTGGGGAAAGAGGCCCGATGAGGTGGTTAAATACGTGTACTCTGTAGTCAGATTGGACCTTGGCTGAGCCTCAGTTTTTCCATCTCTGACATGGAGTGGTGATACCATCAGCTTCCTCTGGGGGGAGGATTTATCAGCAGCCTTGGGCGGATGTTGACTATTGTGTTGGTTTCTGTGGGCTGCTGTTACTAAAGACCAGAGACTGGGTGGCTGAGAACAACAGAAATCAATTCTGTCACAGTGGCAGAAGCTTGTTGTGTACCGTCGAGTGGGAACCAAACCCATCGCTGACCCTCCAGCAGGTTTTCAGAGGCAGTCAATTGCATGGGAGGAGATTGCCCACCTTGCTTCCGCAGCGCAGCTGGTGGATTTGAACCATCTACCTTTGCATGGGTAGCGCAGTTTCTTACCCCCTAAGCCACCAGAGCTCCTTCGTTTTAGAAGCTAGATGTTTGAAATCAGGCCCATTGATTTCTGGGCTTCTAGGCCTCTCCTAGCCTCTGGCAGCCGGCAGCCTTGATGCTCTTTGGTTTATAAAGCCATTATTCTACTCACTGTCTCTTGTCTTCTCCCAACATCTCATGGCCTTCGTTATGGCTGACACTCATTGTTGTAGGAGCCAAATCAGGCTGATCACTGAAAGGTCAATGGTTTGAATCCTCCAGCCACTCTGAGAAACTAAGATGGGCAGTCGCTGCTCTAAAGATACGCACCCTCAGAAACCCGATGAAGGTCAGCGTGAGTCCAAACCAGCTTGACCGTAGGAGTTTGAAAGGTATATACAAGGAGTCCTAATGGCATAGTAGGTGAAGTATTGAGCTGCTAGTGAAAGGGTTGGTGGTACGAATCCACCAGCCACTCTGTGACAGAAAGTTGAGACAGTTTGCCTCCGTAAAGATTTCTGGCCGTAGAAGCTGAAGGTTAAGAGTCTGAATTGCCACCACAGCAGTGGGCACACATGATTGGCACGCCTGCACCAGCATAACCTCATGTGATGTGCTACCATCTTCTACGGCCTGGCTGTCAAATGAATAAAATGACATACATTCATAGCTACGCAAGGTAGGACTTCAACCTAGCTTTTCCTTCCTTCCATCCTTCCTTCCTTCCTTCCTTCCTTCCTTCCTTCCTTCCTTCCTTCCTCCCTCCCTCCCTCCCTCTCTCCCTCCCGCCTTCCTCCCTTTCTCTCTCTTTTTCTTTCTTTCTCTTTGTCTCTCGCTCTTTCTTTCTCTCTCTTTCACTCACTCTTTCTTTCTCTCTCTCTTTATCTCTATCTCTCCCCTCCCTCTCTCCCTCCTTCCTTCCTTCCTTCCTTCCAGCAGAGACACAATCCACAAACACTTGTCTCTCGCCCTCTAAGCTGTCTCTTTTTCACTCTCCTCAGTGCCTCGGTTTCTTAGTCAATAAGATGGGTGCACACTGTCTCCTCAAAACAAAATGCAGCAAGACAAAACAGGACTCTGTGAGTGTGTGTATATAAGCTGAGGGAAAGAATTCTTCTTGTCCGCTTTCCCTGACCCCTGGCTCTGGGATAAAGGAAGGGGGAGGGAAAAGAGGTCTAAAGAAAGTATCTTGCCTCCCGAGGGAACAGGAATTCCACTCCAGCCCCGCGGAGAAGGCGGCCTTGGAAGAGTTCTCGGCCCACGTGGACTTCTGCACCCTATTTCACTATCACCAGATCCTGAACCGGCTGCAGGTGAGGATGGGGCCCAGGTCCCCCCACCCCACCCCGCTGCTCTTGTGCACGCGTTCATTACTCCACACAGAACAGACTCTGTGCGTTCATTTCCAGACCCCGCGCCAAAGCAAATATGGAGTGATGCAATACAGCAACCCAAGTGAATATTTGCTTTCCCCATGCATATAAAAGCTGTAACTGTTTATACTCTAGTTTGTTAGGGAATTCTGGTGGCCAAGTGGTAAGATTGTTGTTGTGTTGTTATGTGCCGTCGAGTCGCTTGCAACACATAGCAACCCTATGTACAACAGCCCTAAACTGCTCTGTCTTGTGCCAACCTCACTGTCTCTGACACACTTACCCCCATTACCCCAGTCACTGAACCAATCCATCTCATCGAGGGTCTTCCTCTCCTGCGCTGTCCCTCCACCCTCCCAAGCATGCTGTCCGTCTCCAAGAACCTGTCCCTCCTTGCAACATGCCCAAAGTATGTGAAGCTTCAGAATCCTTGACTCCAAAGAGCAGCCTGATTTCACGCTCTCTAGGATGAACCTGTTCATTTTCTTAGCAGTCCATGGTACATTCAATACTCTTCTCCAGCACCACAGCTCAGAGGCATCAATTTTCCTTCTATCCTCCCTAGTAATGGTCCAGCTCCTTGGAGGTAAGGATTCTGAGGCTTCCTCTGACAAGGTTTGAACATGTTGCAAGGAGGGAGCGGTCCTTGGAGAAGGACGTCATGCTTGGGAGGGTGGAGGGACGGCGCAGGAGGGGAAGACCCTCTATGAGGTGGATTGATTCAGTGACTGGGGTAATCGGGATGGGAGTGTCAGAGGCAGTGAGATTGGCACAGGACAGAGTAGAGTTTAGGGCTGTTGTGCATAGGGTCTCTAGGAGTTGCAAGCGACTTGACGGCCATAACAACAACAAGAAGGGCAGAAACAGATCAGGATATATCAGGTGGACATTGGTTCTGAGGGAAGCCAGCATCAGGACACAGTGCTGGGCAGATTCTGGGGTTAACGCGCGACCCCTGGCGGGCACAAGAGGAACATACTGGGACTAGGACTGGACGAGGCTGCAAGTTCACTTGTCCCCTGTGAAAACTGGACGATGACTAAGGAAGACTGAAGTAAAACCGATGCCTGTGAATTGTGGAATTAGCGTTGAATATTAGCTCTACCATGGGCATGCAGAAGAACAAGCAAATCGGCCCTGGAAGAAGTCCAGCCAAGATGGTGCAATCTGGGCTCACGCACTTAGGCATGTTATCAGGAGGGGTCAGTGCTTGGAGGAGAGCATGCTGGTTAAAAGGGCAACGAAAGAGAGGAAGATGCTCAACGGGGTGATTGACGCAGGGGCTCCAGTCAAAGGGCTTAACGGGAGAGATTGTGAGGGTGGCCGGATCTTACTGGATGATAAGCTCAGTGAAAGGCAAGATGATCAGCTTCTGGGTCAGTTTTGACTGTGGCTGGTATTTGATGGTATTTTTTGTGCGAAGGAGATAGTCGGGAGGCCTCTCAACTACGAACGTACAAGTCGGTGTTTGGGCGAGCTCTGGTGGCCTAGTGGCAAGAAGCTGCACTGCAATCCCAGAGGTGCACGGTTCAAATCCACCAGATCGGACTTGACGGTACACACACACACACACACACACACACACACACACACACGTAATAAAATATAAAAAAAAAAAGTTTTAAAAAAAGTCAGCGTTTGAATCTACCTGCAGTCAACTTCCTTCAAGCTTACAGCCCCTAATTTAGGTCATCGAACTGCCCATCGAGGTCCTGAGGCTATAAATCCCGATGGATGCCAACTATCTCATCTTTCGCTCTCAGAGCTCTGGGTGGATTTGAACTCCTGACCTTTTGGTTAGTGCTCAACCTCTTTCACTGCTGCACAATCAAGTTGTTGTTTGGTGTTTTGTACCATCGAGTTGGAACTGACTCATAGCTGACCCTCCAGCGGATTTCCGAGGCTGTAAAACGCACGGAGGAGAGTGCTGCCCATCTTTCTCCTGCAGACAGGCTGGAGGATTTGAACCACCTTCCTTGTGGTTGGCAGCGCAGCTCCTTATCATTATGCCACCAGAACCGTTGTGAAATGTATAGTCTTGGAAGCCAGTAGTACTACTCAGTCCTACAGTTACAATTAGTCAGAACTGAGTCAGTGGCAAGGTAAAACAATTTAGAGACTAAGGTGCATGATCCAGGCCATGGTCTTTGCAATTACTTGCTATGCATCAGAGACCTGGACAATGACTAAGGATGACAGAAGAATCAATGCCTTCAAATTGTGGTGCTGGAGAAGAGTCTTGAGCATACATACCATGGACCACCAAGAAAACCAGTAGGTCTGTCTTGGAGAGGATGAAACCAAGTTTCTCTTGGAGGCTAGGATTCTGAAGCTCCATTTCACATATTTTGGATGCGTTGGCCAGGACAGGCCAGTCCAGTCCTTAGAAAAGGATACCATGCTCAGAAGGATGGAGGGACAGTGCAGGAGAGGAAAACCCCAGATGAGATGGATTGATACAGTGACTGGAGCAGTGGGGGTTGGTGTGTCTGAATCAGCGAGACTGGCTCAGGACAAGGGAGGGTTCAGAGGTCACTATGGGTCGCGGGCGGCTTGACAGCTCAACAACAAACAAGCTAAAGACACACTTTGGGCATGTTGCAAGGCAGGCAAGTCCTTGGGGAGGGAAGTCACGCTTGGGAGGGTGAAGAGAAAACGCATGAGAGGAAGACCCTCGATGAGATGGATTGACTGAGTAACTGGGGTGATGAGGGTAGGTGTGTCAGAGACAGTCAGGTTGACTCAGGTTAGAGCAGGATTTGGAGCTGTTGTACAGAGGGTTGCTGTGAGTCGCAAGTGTAACTCGACAGCACATAACAACAACAACAGTAACAAGCTAACAGTCAGCGACAGTACCTGCCCAGCAGTACCTTGGAAGAAAGGCCTGGTGACCTGCTTGCATAAAAATAAAGATGACAGTGAAGGAGACTGTGTGGAACAGGTCTATTCTGTCACACCAGGGCTAGCGATGAGTGGGACTCCGTCGGAGGACAAGGGGTTTCTTTTTAACTTGTCAGTTGTGTGTGAGAGGGCCGTGGCCTCTAAAACCACATTCGGTTTCTAGCTGGAGGTCCAGGATGGGTGCCTTGTTCTCCAAAGCCAGTTTGGCCGGAAGTGGCTGTTGGATGGACACCCCATCCTACGGTCTTCTTCCTGCAGCGCCGAGATGCCCTCACTGTGGTCCCGCATCTCAGCTGGGAACTGGAATCTCTCAAGGTCATTCTGTGAGGCTGAGCACACTACCCAGAGCACCGTGCATTGGCTTTGACCTCCAGGACTGACAATGGGCTTTGGCACAACTTCTGTCCCGGGCTCACGCGCCAGCTTCAAGGGCTCATCCAGTCTCAGACTGTCTCCGCTCCGCACCTCTGACCACTTGATCTGGAACGTAGAGGAGAGGCTTGAGTTACCTGCACCCCCATCCTGACATTTAAAGTCACAGGATGGTGTTTAACATCGCAGGAAGAGTGGGATACCCTGGGGAGCCCTGGAACAGGCAGAAGGGAAGAGATTCTGGCTTGAGCCCAGGGGACCCCATCATTTCAAGAATGGGGGCAGGGTTCCCAGATCCATAGTCTAGGGTAACATCAAGGCCCAACACAGTCCACAAAGAAAATGTTCTATATCATGCTTTGATAATTAGTAACTGGGGTTTTAGAAGCTTAGAAGCAGCCATCTGAGGCATACCTATTGGTCTCTCCTTGTCCACAGCAAAGAAGAGGGAAGAAAACCAAGGGCACGTCAAAACCGTTAGTCTCAAGGACTAATAGACTATTTGAACCCCAGCCTCCACAACCCTGAGAGCAGAAGGAAATAGATGGTGCCCAGCGACCCACCCTCTAACAGGGTCCATTAGAAGGTATTGGGTAAAGTAGGAGAAGAATGGAGTGTTGCAGACCGAGGGTAAAGTAATAATGAGACAGACAACCAAGAATGAAATAAGAGAGAGAGTAAAGACAGGGGGCCAGCTGTCCTGATGACTGAAGCTCCCAAGCCATCCCTCTCGGTCTATTTCTTGAGAATCATCAGGAAGGTGAACAAAGGATAAGCACAAGGGAGTAGAAAACAAAAACAAAGGATTATGGGGAAGTCTTTTGCAGATAAGGTGGAGTTCTTCTTTATTGTTTATGCTTATCTCAGGAGCAAGGGATTCAGTAAATACAAACTAAGAACATGTTGACTTTTAAGGAATGCTTTAGTGCCTCAGAGTGAACTCCAGCTTGTATTACACCTCCCTTAAATCCTGATATAGCATTTGGTTTATTATTAATATTAAATTTGATATTCAGCTTCCCACAATGGAGAACACAAAAGGGACAGTCATACCACAGACCAGGCTTACAGGTATAAGAGAGACTGGTGGGACTGACAAGATTGCAACCCTTAGACAGCCTGGGATCGCACTCACCCTACGGGCTCAATTTCCAGCCCAACAATAGACATGCTGATGAGGTAACCACCACCTGTAACTAAGGAGGTCTGCATACCTTGGAATGATCCATGTGTGCTCAGAAGGGCAGCATTTGCCCTAATAGAAAGTTCTGAAGGGAGGAAGGGGTAGGAAAGGAGGATGAATGGAAACAAGAAAGGTATGGAGGGAAGGGGAAGAGTGCTGTCACAATGTTGGCAGGATTGTGGTCAGTGTTGGAAAACAAATTGAATGGAAAACTCGTTTGCTCTGAAAACCTTCACCCAATTAACAGTGAATGTTGTTGGTGTTGTTGTTGTTATGTGCCATGAAGTCTCTTGCGACTCATAGTGACAATATAATGTACAATAGCCCTGAAACCTGCTCTATCCTGTGCCAACTTTACTATCTCTGACATTACCACAGTCACTGACTCAATCCATCTCATCTAGCGTCTTCCTCTCTTGCGCTGTCTCCTCCACCCTCCCAAGCATGACATTCCTCTGCAAGAACTGGTCCCTCCTTGCAACATGTCCAAAATATGTCAGATGAAGCTTCAGAATCCTTGCCTCCAAGGAGCAGCCTGGTTTCATCCTCTCCAGGGAAAATCTTTTTATTCTCCTAGCCATCCATGATATATTCAGTATTCTTCCCCAGTGCTCACTTCGGCAACACACATACTAAAATTGGAACGATACAGAGAAGATTTGCATAGCTCCTGCACAAGAATGACACCCAAATTCGTGAGGCGTTCCATATTTTTTCAGTGAAAAAAAAATTCTTCTCCAGCACCACAGCTCAAAAGGCATCAGTTCTTGTTCTATCATCCCTAGTCATTGTCCAGCTTTCTGACACATAGCAAGTAATTGCGAAGACTATGGACTGGATTGGGCGCACCTTAGTCTCCAGATTGACATCATTGCTCTTCAGTACTTTGGAGAGGTCTCTGAAAGCAGACATTCCCAATGCAATTTGTCTTTTGATTTCCTGGCTGCTGGTACCAAGAGTGTTGATTATGGAGCAAAGCAAAATGAAGCTGTTAACAGTCTCAGTCTCTTCACCATCTATAATGGTGCTGCCAATCGGCCCGGTGTTGAGAATCTTTGTCTTCTTGATGTTGAGCTTCAATACATATTGGTTTTAAAAAAAAACAAAAACAAGTAAAATAAATAAAGAGGCGGGGACAGAAAGACTCTCTCTTCTCCCCACAGCCCCTCCTGCAATTATAACTATCCCCACTGTCTTTCTCTTTCCTCTTCCTCTCAGGACTTGTATGACCCCATCAACCCAGACAGGGAGACCCTGGACAAGCCTTCCCTAACGGACCCCCAGCGTCTGTCCAACGAGCAGGAAGTGCTCGGGGCCTTGGAGCCACTGTTGATGCAGGCCAACTTCTCAGCACTCTCCGAGGATGCGCTGGCCTACGCGCTGGTGGTCCACCATCCTCAGGATGAGGTCCAGGTACCAAACTCTCACTCCCAGCAGGCCTTGGGGAGGGGGGCGTGGCTTGTACGACACAGATGGTGCTGGGAGTTGTAGTCCTGATCTCTTGATACTGCTGCCTATGGCACCTCTAAGGAGGTAGATAGAGGTGATTCTCTCTGTTCAAGAAACACTGGTGACGTGTTGTGTAACATGGGCAGAAAAGAGAAAAAGACAGTGGTACGAATCCACCAGAGCCTCCTTAAAAAAATAAAGCCTTACAAACTGAGTGGAGGGTCACTATGTGTGGAAATGGACTCAACCCCAGTGGATTTGGGGTTTGGTCCCCCCCCCCAGGTTATTCTTCTGCCTTCTGGAAAGGTGCATGCATGCTTTAGAGATATTGCCCGCTTGGTTCCAGGCCACTTGAAGTAAAGCAGTGTTGAAGAGCATATCAAAGTTACGTTGATAGAGTTGTTGTTGCTGTTGTTATGTGCTGCCCAGTCGGAAACGACCCACAATTGACCCTCCAGAGAGTTGTCAGAGTCTCTAAATTTGCACGGGAGGAGATCGCCCACCCATCGCGCTGTGGAAAAGTCTGAAGTGTGTGTGTGTGTGTGTGTGTGTGTGTGTGTGTGTGTGTGTACCGTCAAATCGGATCTGACTGGTACAGGAGGAGATTGCACCTCCTTCTCCAGCAGAGCACCTGGTGGATTCGAACCACAAACGTCTGGCATTGCAGTTGCAGCTTCTTGCCACTAGGCCACCAGAGCTCCCTTGAAATATTTTGAGAAAAGAAAAAATGTGACAGAGACAGGAAGTGAGTACGTGCTGTTAGAATAACGACTTCGGCAGGCTTGCCCCAGGAAAGGTTGCCACGGCAATGTGTGGAGAAAAAAAAACACACCAAAAAACAGTGTCTGAGAGGCAAAAAAGGAGGTCTGACTATGTCTCAAGAAAAACCATTTCATCAGCCAGATAATGATAATGCAGCGAATACAAAATGCCCCTCCTTGAAATCAACAAAACACCAGCAAAAATGCTGAAGTCTTTCCAAGCCCCACGTTTTACTCATCTGAAGATACACCTTCCTCCAAAGTCATACTTGATCTTTGAAATGGAGACAGGGCTTAGAAGCTGTGGGTTTAATTGGGAAGGTATTCTGGGTTGGAGAAGATTCACAAAATAATACCCATTGTAATTCTCTATGGGTGCTATAACAGAAGTAACCACGGTTGGGTGATTTTAACAAACAGAAGTTTATTTTCTCATAGTTTAGGAGGTTTGAAGTCCAGATCCAGAGCCCCAAGGCTAGGGGAGGGCTTTCTCTCTTTGCTAGGTCTGGAGGAAGGTCCGTGCCTCTTCCCTCTGCCTTCTGGTTCCTTTGAGACCTGCCTGTGGCTTGGCACTAGCCTTCCCCAGCCTCAGCCTGCCAGCTCTCCGAGTTTAATCTCTTTTATATCTCAGAAGGGATTGACTCAAAGTACACCCTACCCGAATCCTGTCTCATTAACATAACAAAGAGAGCCATTCCCAAATACAATTAGGGCCACATGCATTAAAAAAAGAAGAAAACAAAATCTGTTGCCTCGGGGTAGCTTAAGGCTCATTTTGTCACTGGTCCTTCATTTGCGTTTCCAAGGCTGTAAATCACAGCGGAGGAGATTGCCCCTCTTTCTGCTTGGAGCCCACCCTCCTCCAGAGAGGTGTGTAACCTTCAGTTTTCTACATCACTCTCTGTGGAGTAGCCTAATTTATAGTTCTCCTGCAGGAGGGAGTGGATCTCCTTCTGGGGTTGCCAAGGTGTAAGCTTTGCAGAAGCGGTCAGCCACAACTTACGTGGAGCTGCTGGTGGTTTCGAACTGCTGACATCTTGGTTAACAGCTGGTGCTTAAACTGCTGTGCCCCCCAGGCTCCACCACAGGCATCAAGGTGAAGACTCGCAACACATATTTGGGGGTAACACAACTCTGTCCCTAGCAATGCCCATTTTTGTCAAGCTGATACTGATTTTCAGCAGCCCTGGAATGTGGAATAACTTTCCTGTCTGTCTTCCATGGAGTCTCTGGGTGGATTCGAACATGTGACTTGTCTGTTGGAAGCCAAATGCTTAATTATCTTAGCACTAGGCTCCTTTTCCTCCTCTGTAAAGTGCAGTTAATCATCACTGCTTTTCTTGAAAAGATGGGGTGATAATTGGCATAGTTGTTATGGTTGTTGTGTGCCATTGGTCCAGAACCTCCCCATTGCTGACCACCCCCCCAGCGGATTTTCAGAGTCAGATAATTACATGGTAGGAGACGGCCCACCCTTCTCCCATGGAGCAGCTGGTGGATTTGAACTGTGTGCCTTTAGGATTGCAACGCAGCTCCTTACCACTAGGCTACCAGTCCTCCTTCATGAACATGTTGTTGTTAAGTGCCGTGGAGTCGTTGGCGACTCATGGCAACCCTATGAATGAAAGTCCTCAACATTTGTGTGCGTGACTTTCATCCTTTCTCCAGGTTCATAGGGTTCCCAGAAGCAAGCTATTATGGAAGTGGATGCCACTCCTGCTTCTGAGCTTGTTTTAATCGGGGAGCGCCACCAAACACTGTCCACCATGGGTAACCGTTATCGCATTTGACACGTCAGTGTCGCAGTGTTCAGCATCACAGCAACACAAGTTACCTCTGTACAGCAAGTGGACAGACCAGTGCTGTACCACCTAGAAGAATGTTTGAACAAAAACAATGAAAAACAAGCTGTAGGGCCACAGACCTTGGAAACTCCACAGGGCAGTTCTGCTCCGTCCCCCAGGGACGTCGCTGGGAGTGGCCAGTTGAGTCCAAATACTTAGATTAAAACAAGGAGTGGATGAGTGTTCTCAGGAACTTCTGCGGGCCAGGGAGCCGGGGAAGGAGAATGAAGAGTGTGTGGGTACATGAATTCCCTCTGTCGGGAGGAAGATCTTGGAAATGAATAGTGAGGGTGGCTGGACATCAGGGCGAACATCAAGAAATGGTCAGCAGGCAGAGGTTTTGTGGCGTGACTTTTCACCTTGACGCGCTGCCCTCCACGCAGAGCTGATTTAGAGCCGCCCCGCCATTAGGTTTCCAAAGCTGTAAAGAGCATGAGAGGAGATTGCCTGTCGTTCTCGTACAGATAGGTTCAAATGGCCAGAGAGGCACAGCATCTGAGTTGGCCACGCAACTCTCCATGGACTATGCCACCCGAGGTCCTTCGTATTTATTTTACCAGTGTGTCTTAAAAAAAAGGAAGGAAGGAAGGAAGGGAGGGAGGGAGGGAGGGAGGGAGGGAGGAAAGAAAGAAGGAAGGAAGGAAGAAAAAGAAGTGATATCCCGAGACTATGGCCCTTCAGATACCCCGAGACTATGGCCCTTCATCTGCCTTTGAGCTTGGACTTGAACTCAACCCTATGGTACAATTTGCCAACAAACAATAGAGAGGTTTATCAGGAGACCAATAATGCCGGGGTGACAGAGGGCACCTAGAACCCTCAGCCATGAACCATAAAGGGTCACAGGGGCGCGTCTGCCCAAGGATAGAACTCAGAGGCAGGAAGGGGGGGACGATGGGATAAATGAAAACAAGAACCACAGAGAGAAAATAGAGGGACAATATAATGTGGGGTTGCAAACAACATGTGTATAAATAGTTGAATGAATACCAGTCAGCTCTGTAAACACTCAAATAGGGCAAAAATGTGGAGCAAGAAATGACAAGGTAAAGTCAGTGGTATCGCAGGTATACAGTGGTTATCGTAAATCGTGTGCCCTTGCACAGTATACAACATGAACAACCGTCCGTGGCTGCCCTGCCAAGACACGGGATGTAGCTAAACCTGGGAGAAGGAGAGAGTTCTTAGAGTGAGGAGTCAGCTCCTCCAGTGTGCTGTCCTCGCATCCCAGCCTGTCCTCAGCCTCCTTCATCCCTCTTGGCAGGTGATGATAAATCTGGATCAATACATCTACATGCAGTTCTGGGCCCTGGGCCAGCGTGTCGGACAGTTGCCCCAGAAGTCCAGCGTGGGCTCCAAGCGTGGCTTCTTCACCAAGTCACCCCCTGCAGAGAGGTGAGGCAGCCCTTGTCCTCCAGATGCAATGAGAGGGAGCAAGGTTACAGTCCAGATGACCAAGCCATTAATGACCAAGTCATTGTCCCAGCATGGCTGGATGTCTGGGGGCATGAGTCGTGGTAGGAAGTCCAGAAAGGGAGAGCAGTTTCTCATAAATATGCTGCTTTTTTGGGTGGGGGCTGTTTTCCTTTTTGTTTTGTTTTATTCTTTTTTGTGCATGTACCATCAAATTGGATCTGACTGGCACCGGAGGAGATTGCCTCGCCTTCTCCTGCAGAGAATCTGGTGGATTTGGCGGTTGGGTTGGTTTTTTTTGTATGTTTGTATTTTTTTTATCTTCTTCCTATGGGAAAATAAACACTGCTATTCTCTAGGGTCTTAAGAGAAAGAGGTAAGGGCCTAGCTCCCATTTTCCAGATTAGGAAAACCAAGGCTCAGAGTCGGAAGGATACCTTCAGAAGAAATGATGCAGCCAGGCCTGCAATGAACAGCTAGTTTTGGAGGGTTTTTTTGGTTGGTTTTTGCTGTTGTGTAGCATTGAGTCAAATATGACTGGCATAAGAGGAGATTGCCCATCCTTCTCCAGCTGAGCATCTGGTGGATTCAAACTGCTCGCCTTTGGGACTGCAGCTCAGCTTCTTGCCACTAGGCCCCCAGAGCTCTCTGAACAGCTCAGTCTCTAATAGAGGCTATCTAAGGACAGGCTAGGGTCATTTGGATCATTTACGACTCATAGCGACCCCACATGACACGGGAGAGCTGCCCCATTGAACTTTATTTGGTGGTAAACTTTTTTTTTTTTAATTTGGTGGTAAACTTTACGGGGACAGAGAACCAAGTCTTTTCCTCCAACTGCCAACCCCTCAGTTAGTGGCTGAATACTTAACCCTTGTGCCACCAGAACTCCTTCACTTACTAAGTCAAAAAGTGCAACTCCTTGCTGTCGAGTCAGACTGACTCACCGCTGACCCTCCCGTGGGTTTCCAAAGCTGTCAATCACATGACAGGCAACTGCCCATCTGTCTCCTTCAGAGCTGCCAGCAGGCAGATTCAAACCACCAGAGAGATGTGGCCTTCGGTGTTAGCAGCACAACTCCCTCTGGGCTGTACCACCGAGCAGAAGTCCCAGGGATGTAATAGAGCAGCACAACTCCCTCTGGGCTGTACCACCGAGCAGAAGTCCCAGGGATGTAATAGACAGGCTGCCAGTGTCTGTGTCTGTGACAAGAGCAGACACATATATCTCTATCTATCTATCATCTGTCTATCTATCTATCTATCTATCTTTGTAGTTGTCGATTGCTATCAAGTCAAGCACCACTCATAGCGACCCTATGAACCAAAGGCCTAAAGCCTTTTTTAAACTGTTGTCATTTATCAAAGTTCACAGAGTTTTCAGAGGCATGTTGTCGAGGAAGTGGATGCCACTCCTGCTTCCAAATTTTATACATGCATATTTTTTATTTTTATTTTTTGCTTATATATTTTTTATTTATATGTACACGTGTTTACATACATACATGTGTAATCTGAATTTGAAGACTTAAACAGAAGAATATCATTCCATTCTCACTGGTGCAAATCGGAACTCAGCTATGTGTCCAGTAATTGGGGAATTGCATCAATTATTTATTTACTTATTTTATATTTTCTTTTTTATTGTAAGGAGAGACCGACCCTTGGAGAAAGACATCATGCTTGGGAGGGTGGAGGGACAGCGCAGGAGGGGAAGACCCTCTATGAGGTGGATTGATTCGGTGACTGGGGTAATTGGGATGGGAGTGTCAGAGACAGTGCCATTAGCACAGGACAGAGCAGAGTTTACGGCTGTTGTACATAGGGTCGCTATGAGTCACAAGTGACTCGAAGGCACATAACAACAACACAACATTGATATTTAAATGAAAGTTTACAGAAAACTTGGATTTCCACTCATTCATTGTTGCACATTTCCCTCCCTACCCACCCTCCAGTTTGCTTTTCTCTTTAAAAAGATTCATTCATTGTTGCACAATTTCCTCCCTTCCCCCACCCCGCCAGTCCACTTTGCTATGCACCTCTTATTCTGGATTGTTTTCATGTAAATAATACCTAATCATACACTCCTTTTAAACAGTTCTTTCCCTCATCTGTTTCAATGCAGTGTTCATTATTGATTCCCTCTTTTCTTCGTTTATTCCCAATTCCCATGTCAGTTCTGTTCTATAGCAGTGGCATTATGCAGTATTTGTCCTTTTGTGACTGAGATATTTCACTCAGGATAACATCCTCCAGGCTTACCCATTTTGTATAATATTTCATGAGTTCCTTGTTTTTCAGTGCCACGTAGTATTCCATTGTGTGAATATACCACAGCATCTCTACCCATTCATTTGTTGATGGGTACTTGGGTTGTTTCCATCTCTTTGCTGTTGTGAATAACGCAGGAATAAACACAGGTGTGCATATATCTGTTTTGGTGGCAGGTCTGGTTTCTTTAGGGTAGGATTACATCATTTAATGGATCGCCCCGTATGGGGCACTTAGCTTAGCTCTCAGCCCTTGGCCATCTATATTTATTGAGTAAAGGAGCCCTCATGGTGGAATGCTTAAGTACTTGGCTGTTAAACAAAAGGTTGGCAGTTTAAACCCACCCAGCAGCTCTGTGGAAGTAAAGAACCGATGATCTAACAGAAAAATTAGGGAAAAGCCAAACTAGTTGTCATTGTGTTTACTGTGACTCTGTAGGACAGAGTGCAAGACCCTCTTAAGTTTTCCAAAGCTGTAATCTTTGTAGAAGGCAGATGCCAACTGCCCCACTTTTCTCCGCAAAGCAGGTGGTGGATTTGAACCGCCACCCTTTCCTTTTGCAGCCAAGCTTCTTAACCACTGCACCACTTCCTTCCGGAAAGACAGCAGCTTGGAAAACTCCACACACGAAGGCCTTAGGGTCAGCGTGAGTCAGAATCAACCAGAAGGCACCAAACAAGAGCACAGCCCCCTGGTCCAACCAAACTGTTAGTGATCTTGGCTGCTAACTGAAAGGCTGACTGTTCGAGGCCACGTAGAGGCGCCCTGTCCGTCTCCTTAAAGCTTGCCCATTAAAACCCAATGGATCCCAGGGCAAACTTGGGGTCACCGAGAGTCGGAATCCACTTGCTGGCCACCAGTCATATTGCACATTAAGTGGGGTGTCCCGGTGCAAAGCAGGGAGGCCCCAGGCTTGGAGCCCCTCCCCCGGGGTGGTCCTGAGCCAGCTCATTCCACCTTAGGAGATACTTCAAGCGGGTGGTGCTGGCGGCCAGGACCCGGGGCGGCCACCTGGTGCTGAAGAGCTTCAAGGACACGCCGCTCGAGGGCCTGGAGCAGCTGCTGCCTGAGCTCAAGGTGCGCACGCCCACCCTGCAGCGCGCGCTGCTCAACCTCACGCTGGTCGTCTCGGGCGTGGCGCTCTTCGTCAACGTGGGCATGGTGGTGGTCACCGACCTCAAGATGGGCACCTCGCTGCTGCTGCTGCTCTTCGCCATCTTCATGGGCCTGCGGGCCTCCAAGGTGAGAGGCCGACCCCCCCTACCCGCGGGCCCCCGGGGCTCATGCGCCCTCTCTGCCTCTCCATGCGGTGTGTCTATGGCCTTCCTGCTTCCTCCCTCCCTTCCTTCCAAGCAGCCCTGGAGGTGCCTTGATCTGCAACTGGGCTGCTTGTTGAAAGTTTAGTGGTTTGCACCCACGAGCCACTCTGTGAGAGAAAGAGGTGGTTGTCAGCTTCCAATAAGATATATAATCTTAAAATACTATGTGTATGTGTGTGTGTATGTACGTGTGTGTGTGTACACTGTGGTGGGGGGAAGAAAAAGAGAAAGCCGGGTAGAAAGTAAGTCCCAACGCAGAGGGTCAGACTTCAGGATGCAAGTTTGTGAGGCAGAGGAACCCAAGATTGGCAGGGGCAGGCAGAGGGGCAGACCTTTAGCTCAAGTCTGGAGGTCAGATAGATGCAGGATCCAGATCCAGCAAAAGCAAGAGATGCCTACAGTTGTGTCAGCTGCAGGCCACGCCCCCCCAGACTCCCTTTTGCTTGATTGGCTGAGAGCAGACCAGCCAAGGGAATGAGTCAGAACTGCCAAACTAGAGTCCCAGGCAGGCACGCTGACGCACAGTCTTAATGCTCCCTGTTTGGTTACTTTGACTCCTTCCCTAATTCCTTCCCTCTTCCCCCCCTCTCCTTCCCTTCCACTTCTGGCTTTTTCTTCCCTTCCCTTTGCTCCCCTCCCCTCCCTTTTCCTTCTCCTCTCCCTCCCTGTCTTTCTTCCTTTCCAGCCTCATTTACTCAATACACTCTTGAACAGGTTTCATAATCCCTCTGCACCTCAGTTTCCACATCTGGGAAATGGGCACAGCAGTGAGAGCTGCCGCAGTACCGGGTGGTTTGTGAGGTTTCAGTGAGTGAATCGGTGAGAAGAAGCTGAAAGAGGCACAGTGCCTGGCACAGTGAAGGCTGGAAGTGAACTCGAAACTAAGCACCCATTTCGAGAGGCAGCTTGGGGACCTGTCAGGGACATGGGCTTGGGAACCAAAATACTTGGACTTGATTTGGATGCGTGACCATCTTTTTAGCTGGGTGATCTTGATTGAGTAGCTTAACCTCTCTGCGCCTGAGCTCTCGTGTCTGCAGAGTGGCAGGGTCCTGTACAAGCTAACTCAACAGGTAAGGTTGTGGGAATGATACGTGTGAGGTGCTGAAAACAGAGCTTAGCACAAAGGAAGCTGTTCCTATTATCATTCTTCCTAATTGGACTGTTTATTCCGTGGGCCTAGGCTTCTTCATCCTGCGAAGGTATTATTCTCCCTAGACGCGCCGGTTTATAAATGCAGCTTCCTGCCCAAATGGTCATAATTGGAAATTCTGGGCTGAGGCTCAGGAAACCGTGTGTCTAATGAGCCCCTTCTTGATTCTTCTCTGTGAGGTACAGGGCCGTCTTGTACAGGCTGCTCACCGTGCAAAACTTCTTGACCACGGGGTGCATAGGGGGGCCGACGATCCACTTGTGCGCTGCTTACCAAGGCGGGTACCCCATCTCCACGCCAAGGGGCAGCCTTTTTCCTGCCTCTCCTAAAAGCTGGCACGGGCCCCGGAGCGTGTGAAGTATCTGTTAACACCCAAAGCTTCATTTGCTGGTTCGTTGCTTTTCAAGCTGTTTGCAGACATCCCAGCAGGCTCGTGGTTAAACTGGTGATAAAGCCTACAGCTAAGAGCCAGACTGCGTGGGCTGGGAGGCCGCTAGGATTCCCCAGCCAATGAGGGCCCCAGGGGACCTCGAGACACCCTAGCAGGGCTGTTGGGAGTCAGTTCCCACCCTTACAGAACAACCCCCTGGGCGGCCAAAAGAACAAGCAAATCCATCTTGGAGAAAGTGCAGCCCGAGTGCTTCTTAGAGACGAGAAGGTTGAAACTTGGCCTCACATACTTTGGGGATGTTGGCAGGAGGGGCCGGGGCGGTCCTTGGAAAACAAAAGACATCATGCTGGGGGAAATTGAGGGTCAAGGAGAGCGAGGAAGACCCTCAGTGAGATGGGTTGACACAGTGGTTGCAATACGTAGAAATGACGATGAGGACGTTACAAGATCAGGCGAGGCGGCGAGCTCTGGTGGCCTAGTGGCAAGAAGCTGCACTGCAATCCCAGAGGTGTGCGGTTCAAATCCACCAGATGCTTTGCTGGAGAAGGAGGAACCATCTCTTCCTGTACCAGTCAAATCTGATTTGACGGTAGCACACAAACAAATAATAAAAATAAAATAAAAAAAAAAGATCAGGCGAGGTTGCGAAAGCCAAACAGGTCACCTGACAGCAGCAATGACCCTACAGAGAGGGTCGCGTAGAACTGCCCCAAAGCTGTAGCCCTGGCAGCGTGGTCTGCAGGGAGTTGCACTGCTGGCCCAGAGCTTGAGCGCCTTCAGAGGTTCAAATCCACCGGCTGCTCCCAGGAAAAAAACCGATAAGCGATAAGCGTCCTCCTCCTGTCGTGATTGACAGCCTCGAAAACCAATGGAGAGGCGCTGAGTTGCAACCATCTCGACAGCAGATGAGTTTGAGTTGCCTCTTTTTTTATTTTTATTTTATTTTATTATTTTTGTGTGAGTGTACCGTCAAATCAGATCTGACTGGTACAGGAGGAAATTGTCCCTCCTTCCCCGGCAGAGCATCTGGTGGATTCGAACCGTGCACCTCTGGGATTGTAGTTGTGAGTTGCCTCTTTACGGATGCAGTTGGTGAGTTCCGAGGGCTCACCTACCAGTTAGCAGCCGCTGCTTGAACCACCGCACCACCAGGGCTCGATCTTAGCACATTTTCCTTTTTTTTTTCTTTTTGGTAGTTTTTTTTTTTTTTAATTAATGTTAATGAAAGTTCACAGAGACTTAGGGTTACCATTCATTCATTGTTGCACTTTTCTCCCTGCCCACCCCCTCTTCCCCAATTCACTCTTCTCCTTGAAAAGTAAAAGGAAAAAACTCTTTCATTGCTATGCAATCCTTCGTCCCAAGTCCACTCCACTATGCAGCCTTCATTCTGGACTCCTTCATGACCGTAATACCCCATTATATATCCCTTTTAAACAGTTCTCTCCCTCATCTGTTTCAATGCAGTATACATCATTCCTCCCCTCCTTCTCTGTCTTCCCTCAACCCCAATGTCAGTCCCATTTTACAAGTGTAGCGCTATGCAATATTTGTCCTTTTGTGACTGAGATATTTCACTCAGTATAACGTCCTCCAGGGAGGGTCACCCATTTCGTATAATATTTCATGAGTTCCTTGTTTTTCAATGCTGCATAGTATTCCATTGCGTGAATATACCACAGCTTCTCTATCTATTTGTTGTTGATGGACACTTGGATTGTTTCCAGCACTTTGCTATTGCGAACAAAGCCGCGATGAACATGGGTGTGCATATATCTGCTTGGGTGGCAGTTATGGTTTCTTTAGGGTATATTCGCAGTAGTGGAATCGCTGGGTCAAATGGTATCTCTATTTGCAACTCTTTGAGAAAGCATCATAGTGCCTTCCATAGTGGCTGCACCATTGTACACTCCCACCAGCAGTGAATAAGGGTTCCATTTTCTCCGAAACCTCGCCAGCATTTGATGTTTGCTGTTCTATTAAATTTTGCTATTCTCACTGGGGTGAGATGATATCTCATAGTTGTTATGATTTGTGTCTCTTTTGGAGCTAGGGATTTTGAACATTTCTTCATGTGCTTATTGGCCATCTGAATATCTTCTTTGGTGAAGTGTCTGTTCATATCCTGTGCCCATTTTTCAATTGGGTTGTTTACCTTTATCTTGTGGTGACATTTTCCTTTTCTCACTGCCCTGATAGATGATAATTTCTAGGAGCCACCTCGTGCGACAGAGCCGAAGGGCCCCTGATTCCAATGCCGTAATCTTTACAGAAGCAAACTGCCTTCTTTTTTTCCACCCTCTGTTCTGTGTATCTGATGCATCCACTGTACCACTGACACTCCTTAGCAGGGCAGAGAATGCAATTTCTGGGTTAGACGCAGTTCCTAGAAGAATTATGCCTTTTTTAAGAAAAAAAAATACTTTTTATCCTAATTTGAGTGAAAGTTTACAGAGCAAGCTGATTTTTCCATTTATACCTCTTTTTTTTTTTTCTTGCCGTTGATTGCAGTCCCCACCTTGGGAACAGCATCTTTCCTACTTCGTTCCTGTGATTCTTGTTTCCACTCATCCTTCTGTCTGCTCTCTTCCTGTCTTACGAGCTTTATGCCTGTGCCAATGCTGCCCTTTTGCTCTTGCATGGATGAAGAGGTAGGGATTGAGTGAAGGCTTGAGAAGGGGTGGTGAAAGGAGCAGGGGAGCCCAGACTGGCCTAACCATGAGAGTGGGGTCCTTGGGGCAGAATGGAGAAACGAGGTCTCAGAGGGGGACAATGGACTCGAAGGCCTCGATGAAGACCTAGACTTTGTCCTGAGGAATGCAGAGCTGTGGAAGGGCCCCAAGAACAAGACAGCAATCCTGTGATGCTGACAGAGTGGGGGAGGTACAGTGGAAAAGTGGGGAGGTGGTCCTGCGAGGAGAGAGCGGGTCCATGTCCCTGCTCAGACTGGACAGTTTCACTCCTTAGTGGACCTAGAGGCCCTGGAACTTCGTGGTCTCTGAGGAGCTCAGGTTGAAACTTCTTAGCTGAGTTCCTGCACTTCTTAAATTCCTCTCTGAGTTCCGGCAGCCTCATGCCCTTTGCAAGCTCTGCCCCAGCCAGGCCGGAGGCTGCACAGAGGGTCACCTTACCTGATCTGCACACTATCTCCCAGCACCCACAGTGCTGCCGTCAAGCCCAAGCCCTTTACCTCTCCAGCCCCCCACGCATGTCACCCCCTTTCTCCTCCCGAGTCTGTTTTACGATAGCTTCTGTCTTCCCCCCATGCTCAGAGCAGACACCCGCATCTTTTGCCCCACAAGCCTGTGGGGCTGGAATAGCTAACCTTTTGGTTAGTAGTCAGAGCTTAGTCACTGTGACACTGGAGCTGAGTTCTTTAAAGATTCCAGCCTTGTGGCAAGAAGCTGCACTGCAATCCCAGAGACGCTCAGTTCGAATCCACCAGATGCTCTGCTGGAGAAGGAGGGGCAATCTCCTGTACCAGTCAAATCTGATTTGACGGTACACATTTAAAAAAAAAAGGAGTAAAGAGGAAAATAAAAAAATAAAACTCCAGCCTTAGGAAACCTACAGGATAGCTGGGAAAAAAATATGCATTATAAAGTGAAGTAGGGCAATGGGGGGTGGGAGGAAAACGTGTATCAATGAATGAATGAAAAACCATCCTTTCTGTAACCTTTCACTAAAATCACGAAGAATTTGGTTGGTTGGTTTTTTTCTTTTTTTTAAATGAAATTATTCCCCTCAAAATGCCACAAACGTACAGGATAGTCCTACTTTGTCCTATAAGGTTGCCTTAAGTTTGAATCGACTCATGGCAAAAGAGTTTGGGTTTTTTGGGGGTTGATTTCACTGGGCTTTCTTTCTCGTGGGGCTTTCTCTGACAAGCAGGCAGACTATTGGGGTTTTGTTTGTTTTTGTTTTGTTTTGTTTTGAAACCATTTTATTAGGACTTGAGTCAACGTTTCGAGAGCAAATGAGTTTTCAGGTCAGCAATTTATGCATTCAGCTTCTGCCCTTAGTTGCAGTCAGAGAATTGTCCTCGTCGTGACCCTGTGGACAGCAGAACCGGACGCTGGATCGTGCCCAGGCCATCACTGCGATCAGCCTCTCTGTCGGCCTGTCTCACTGAGGGTCTTTTTTCATTTTTTTGGATGACCATCACCTTACCATGTGCGAGGTCCTTTTCCGGGGACTGATAAAATGTCTATAGTACGTGAGACAAATCTCACCATCCTCCACTAGGGAACAGTATTTCTATCAAGACAGGTTTATTCATTTTTCTGGCAGGCCATAGCGAAATCAATATTTTATATATATATATTTTTTCTGTGTGAGTACCATCAAATCGGATCTGACTGGTACAGGAGGAGATTGTCCCTCCTTTTTTTTTTTTGTCCCTCCTTTTTTTAAAAAAAATATTTTATTCTTTTGTGTGCGTGTACCATCAAATCAGATCTGACTCGTACAGGAGGAGATTATCCCTCCTTTTCCAGCAGAGAGCATCTGGTGGATTTGAACTGCGTGCCTCTGGGATTGCAGTGCAGCTTCTTGCCACTGGGCCACCAGAGCTCCCTGCGAAATCAATATTCTTTGCCAACACCACAATTTAGAGGCACCGGTTCTTCTTCAGGCCTCTTCATTCATTATCATCTAGCTTCCCATTCATTCTGGAAATACTGTGTCTTGGGTCAGGTGTACCTCAGTCCTGAAGGTGACATCTTTGCTCTCAAATACTTTAAAAGGGCAGATTTTTAAAAATTAATTTTAATGAAAGTTTACAGAAACTTGGGGTTTCCAATCATTCATTGTTGCACTTTTCTCCCTGCCTACCCCCTTTCCCCAATTCACTCTTCTTGAAAAGAGAAAAACTCTTTTTTTTTTTTTGTGACTGAGATATGTCACTCAGCATAATGTCCTCCAGGGTCAAGGGCAGATCTTTTGTCGCAGATTTCTCCCAGTGCAGTACATTTAAATTCTTGACTGCTGCTTCCATGAGGATTAATTGAGGTTCTAAGCAAAATTAAATTCCTCACGACTTCGGTGTTCTCTGTTTAGCATGATGTTGCATATTAATCCATCTTCGCCTTGATTTTCTTTATATTAAGGTGCAATCTATACTGAAGGTTGCAGTCTTTAATCTTCATCAGTTACATAAATAATTTATTTTAGGAAGATCAGCACAAAGCTGGTTCCTATTAGGCGCAGAGTTAATGTTGTCCCCAAATGCCCCATTTTCCCATATTTCTGGACCACTCTGTCATTTCAAATGTCAGCGCCTCCTTCCCTCCCCAGTACCTTCCCTCCCACCTGTGGGTTTCGTAGTTCACTGAGGTGTCTTGTGAACTCTCAGAAGAATGGCTCACATTTCTTTGGGGTGGGGTCCCAAATCGGTGGGTCACATATTGAGTCTGGAGACCTTTCCTGCCTCCCTGGGCTGCAGGGACTGGGGGACAAGCTCAGATGGTCAGGTGGCAGGCTGATGGCTGCCAGGTTTCAGAAGGTGGTGAAAGAGATCACATGATCAGCTGGTGGTTCAAGACAGGAGGTCAGATGATGAGGTGCCAGATGCTATGTGAGGAGAAAGGGGGCGGGGGAGGGAGGGAGAGAGAGGACTTGGCCAGAACTTCAAAAAGTAGCTCAAACTCACTGTTGTCACATTAAAGCTGACTCATAGCTGACACGCCATCAGATTGCTCACGGCTCTAAATCACCCAAGTAAGTGATCGCATCTCTCCCATGGAGCTCCCAGTGACTTCAAACTGCCAGAGACGTATGGCCTCAGGGTCAGCCTTGCAGCTCTCTGTGGACCAAAGCTCGCATGTATTGGCCGAACAGTCATGTGTATTTTGCAGTTTGAGGCTTGAATGTCCCAGTTTCCCTTCAGCTCTTGCAGCCTGAGAAATGTTGAGCACATGCTTTCAGCTTGGATTTTGGCTCCACAGTCAACATTCTTGGCACCAGTAGCCAGGAAATTAAAAGATGTATTGCGATGGGAAAGTCTGCTGTTAGGGGCCTCTCCGAAGTACTGAAGAGCAATGGTGTCTCTCTGGAGACTAAGGTGCGCCTGATACAGGCCATGGTTTTTGTAATCACTTGTTATGCATCAAAGAGTCGGACAATGACCATGGTGGATAGAAGGAGAATTGATGCCTTTGAGCTGTGGTGCTGGAGAAGAGTATTGAATATACCATGGACTGCTAGGAAAACAAACAGATTCATCCTAGAAATGATTAAACCGGGTGGCTCCTTGGAGGCAAGGATTCTGAGGCTCCTTTTAACATACTTTGGACATGTTGTAAGGAGAGACCGGACCTTGGAGAGGGACATCATGCTTGGGAGGGTGGAGGGACAGTGCAGGAGGGGAAGGCTGTCTATGAGGTGGCTTGATTCAGTGACTGGGGTAATCCGGATGGGAATGTCAGAAACAGTGCAATTGGCACAGGACAGAGCAGAGTTTAGGACTGTTATACAGAGGGTCACTATGAGTCGCAAACTACTCGACAGCACATAACAACAACAACCAGGCACATTTCATTATCATACTTGATTCTGTCTTCTCCAATTGTCCTTGGAAACCTTGTTTTCCACCATTGTCTCTTCCAGTTGCTTTAACTACTGGACATTCAGAACAGAGGCTCTTCTGACGTGCATGTTTGTTTCCTGTTTCTTTTCAATTCTCTTTTACCTCCTTCCTGTATGATCTTCTTCTTCTTCTTCTTCTTCTTCTTCTTCTTCTTCTTCTTCTTCTTCTTCTTCTTCTTCTTCTTCTTCTTCTTCTTCTTCTTTCTTCTTTCTTCTTTCTTCTTTCTTCTTTCTTCTTCTTCTTTCAAATTGGATCCGACTGGCACAGAAGGAGATTGCCTCTCCTTTTCCAGTGGAGCATCTGCTGTATTCGAACCGCACGCCCTCGGGATTGCAGCTCAGCTTCTTGCCACTAGACCACCAGAGCTTCCCCATATGATGTTCTTGGGGCCATCCCCCAAATCACCTGGCTTTCGCTCATTAATACTCAAAACGTCAAATCTGTTCTTGAGATGGTGTCTGAATTGGTCATATTGCCCGGAGGGACCAGTCCTTGGAGAAGGAAATCATGCTTGGAAGGGTGGGAGGTCAGCACAGGAGAGGAAGATCCAGGAAGAGATGGATTGACCGTGACTGTAGCAGTGGGGGCAGGAGTGTGTCAGAGACAGTGAGACTTGTGAGCTATTGTGCAGAGGGTCGCTGTGAGTCGTAGAGGATTCAAAGGCACAAAACAACATGGAACCCTGCCAGTGGAATTATCAGGCCAGACTCCCCTGTGTGGCCTTCTGCTTCTGTAAAGATTGCCTGTTTCCGGAACCCCAAGGGGCAGTTCTGAATCTCAATCGGCCCCGTGGCTGTGGATTTTTTCCTACTCCACTTCCAACTCTGATTTTTCTCTGGCTACAAATCCATTCAAAAGATTAGGAAACTAGTTGTTGTTGTTGTTGTGTGCCATCGAGTCGCTTGCGACTCATAGCGACCCTATGTACAACAGCCCTAAATGCTGCTCTGTCCTGTGCCAATCGCACTGCCTCCAACACACCCACTCCGATTACCCCAGTCACTGAATCAATCCACCTCATAGAGGGCCTTCCCCTCCTGCGCTGTCCCTCCACCCTACCAAGCATGATGTCTCTCCAAGGACCTGTCCCTCCTTACAACATATCCAAAGTATGTCAGACGAAGCCCCAGAATCCTTGCCTCCAAGAAGCAGCCTGGTTTAACCCTCTCCAGAACGAACCTGTTTGTTTTCTTGGTAGTCCATGGTACATTCAGAACTCTTCTCCAGCACCACAGCTCAAAGGCATCAATTCTCCTTCTATCCTCCCTAGCCATTGTCCAACTCTCTGATGCATAACAAGTGATTGCAAAGACCATAGCCTGTATCAGGCGCACCTTAGTCTCCAGAGTGACACCATTGCTCTTCAGTACTTTGGAGAGGTCCCTAACAGCCGACTTTCCCATCGCAATACACAATACGTCTTTTAATTTCCTGGCTAGGAACCTAGGGCGGTTGCTAAAAATTGTAGCCTTCCCAACAGGGTGGGGCTAGTCAGAGTCTGTGGGGCGCGAGGACCATCACATTGCCACACTGACGGCCAGCACCTGGCTCAGGAGTCCGCAGCCTCCCCATCTGTAGGTCCGGGAAGGGTCGCAATCCCAACCGCTTGAGTGATACTTGCACATGAGGGTCGAGGTGTAGACGCGAGCACCCCTCCCTCGGCCCTGCCCTCCCCGCATCTCCGAGCTCAATCTACGCGGCCTCTGTCCCTTCTGCAGATGTTCGGGCAGCGGCGCAGCGTGCAGGCGCTGGAGCTGGCGCACATGCTGTACTACCGCAGTACGTCCAACAACTCGGAGCTGCTCAGCGCCCTGTCCCTGCGCGCGCAGGCCGAGCACGCCAAGGAGGCGCTGCTGGCGCGCAGCTTTATGGCCCGGCGCCCCCAGGGAGCGGACGGCACCCTCCAAGGTAGGTCGTGGCCGCGGCCCAGATGCCTCGTCCTATCGTGGACCTTGCTCCCGCGATGCCCCGCCTCCGAGAACTCCGCCCTGTCAATCCTGACTGTGTTTGTAGAGGTCCCGCCCCAGGGTGATGCTCTCCGGGATGAAATGCAGCCCCACCTCCTACTCCCGTTCTACTTCTCCTGGGGCACCCGCCTGATTGCAGAGGTAGCCTTGGCTTTCACCACGGAACACCCCAACTTCCACCGTGAAGAAAGCAGACCCTTGAGCTAAACGTCAGGCCTAGGCCTGACCCCTCTCTTGATGGGACCTTGAGTTCTATTTCTGGCTTCAAGCTGCCTGTCTCAAGGGGCTTTGAATCGGCTATGTGTCTTTCCCTTTCAAGACGTGAGTTCGCGCGTCCCTTCCTACGTAGGCCCCAGACTGACGTTTCATTTGGAGCTTCATTCATCCCTGATCTGGAACCCCCGCCTCCTCCCTAAAGGGAGCCCCAGGGACAGCCCTATGTCTGGTCACACTCGTCTCCAGCCCTCTCTCCTACCTCCTGGCTTCTCCTTGACCCAGACCCCGCAGATCACCTGCCTTGACCCCTTTTCGTCCTACTCTACCTACGCTGAACCAGTAACGTCACCTGCCTCTTCCCTTTCCTCTGCAGAGACGTCCCAGTGGCTCCAAGCAGAGGTGGAGAGCTGGCTCCTGGCCCAGTCAGGCTGTGACGTGGCCTTCAACGGAGCGCGCGCCCTGGCCCACCTGCAAGCCCTGACCCCCAGCATTGGGCTCTACCCTCCCCCAGATTTCCCTAAACTAGATCCGCTAGTTTCAGTCTCTTCTGAGAACCCTCGGCCCACTTCTCGAAGTGACAGCCCTTAAACCACAAACTCCTGTCCTCTGACCCACCTGGCCAAGGCACTAAGTCCGCCTCTCTACTGAGCTGTCAATCACAGTGCGAAGCTTGGCCACGCCCCGACCCACAAGAACTGAAGCTCTCATGTCAAATAGAGCAGCCAATCGGAAGAGCTCGCAGGTGCTGGGCTTCGGAGGAGCAGCCAATCAGAGCTAAGTCTGTTTCACGGCTTAGTCCCACCCCTCACCTTGAACTTAGTGGTTGGGCTGAGAGTGCTGGGGGTCTGGGCCGAGCCAGCCAATCCCAGCTGTTCATCTCCGTCTTTTCCGGAACCACAGGGCACAGTTAAACTATGCTCTTCCGAGGCTACATATCACTGCCTTTTTAGCCTGCGCTGGGCAAGCTGCCCGCCTTGTGCACTAAGCCGGGCCCCAGCCAGCAACCAGTGAAAGCCGTTCCGCCCCTGTTCCCCTGGCAAACAGCCAATGAGTGACAGCTGCTGGACACCATCAGGTCAGGCAGCTGCTCAGAGGCAACCAATTCTGAATTTCCAAAGGAAACCCGATCTTTTGTATCATTTGCCGCTGGGTGTATGGCGGGCCCACGGCTCAGCTGCTGATCGGCTGGGCCGGGCTGAAAGGGGAGGGAGCCCTGTGCGTGGCAGGAAGCCATGGGCCCAGGGGAGCTGGAGATCACCTTCACTCCAAGACCCCTCCTTCCTCAGGTCCCCCCGACCACCTCAGGTGCCTTCCTGAGCCAGGCCCCTCGCCCCTACTTGAGAAACTACCTCGATGTGGACTCCCTGCACCCTGCAATATTTATGAGTCTGTCCATTTCGCCCCCATTCCCTCTCCTCAAGGAATAAATCCTGTTTAATGAGTCTGGATGAGTAGGGTGAGATGAGTGGGGAGAGGGTGGTTGCGGGACTTGGAGGGATGTAGGTATGGCAGTGCTGGGAGGGTTAGTCAGGGGTGGGGTTGTTAATGTGGGTTCAGCCCCAGGCAAAGAAAGCTGTGGTTTTAAGAGGGAGGCTGGGGTCTTGGTTGGTGAGATAAAGCCTGACTGTGGCTCTGAGAGGAGCGATGGTTAAAGTGCTAGGCTGCACGTCAAAGGTTGGCAGTTAAAATCCACTAATAACTCCATCTGCTTCTGTAATGATTACCACCTTGGGGGGAGCTGTGGTGTTGTAGACCGTAGGGCGTTGTCCTGGTAACTCAGAGATTACAGCCTTAAGAAGTTCAATGAGGCAATTTGACTCTGTCTTGTAGATTGGCTGAGTCTGAATCATCCCCGCGTCTGTAGGCTTGTTTGGGTGTGTCTGAGGAAAGAGTCTTGAAAAGGAGCTGGTTCTTGAGATGCTGCCCTGAATACCATGATCTGGAGAGAGAAAGTGACTGCACAAGGGCGCACTGTCGGGATGTCGTCAGGTGCCATCAAGTTGTTAGGAAATCCCGTAAGGTTTCCTACTTTGTAGTCTTTACGGGAGCAGATTGCAAGGACCTTTCTTCTGCCAGGTAACGATGGATTTGAACCTCCCACCTTCCAGTCAGCAGTCAAACATTATTGTACCACAGGGGCCCGTGGGTGGGTCGAAGATCCAGTGTGTGGCCCTTGGTCCAATGAATTCTGATAATGGGCCAGTCAGGAGGTGGGCTGTGTCTTCTACTTTATACTAAAGCATCATTTGAACCAGAGGTGGCCTTTAGGGTCAGAGGCGACCTTTGCGAAAAGGGGAGGAGAGTGGGGGAACCCTCGTGAATGAGGAAACCCGGGTGCTGAGAAGGAAATGGACAATTCTATCGCTAGAGGGAGGGTCAGAAAAATAAGAGAGTGGGCAGGCCAGTAATTTATAACAACACATATGATGTCTGTGTCCCAATGAGACACAGAGCGACAAACCCTCTGCAAGAAAACAGAACTAGGGACCCATATCCTGAGTCCTATGAGGGTTTGCCGGGAAATCATAAGAGGTTGTGCCTCAGCAGGGGTGGCTTCTGGGGCCTGAAACACAAGAGACTTGGGTGAAAAGCGACGGAGGGCCAGGACACTTATGTCTGGCATTCTGAGGGACTCTCCCTGGCCCAGGAGCTCACACAGCTGTGGTCCCTGAAGAGAAAAGGAAGGAGACAAAGTCAGGGACCGAGGTTAGGCGGTTTTATTTTCTGGGCGCAGAGGCTCTGGAGTGCAGAAGGGATTCTAGGGGGGAGAGAGGGGAACGGCTGGGAGTTCACTCCCGCTTCCGCAGGTGAATGTACATGATGCCACTGACCAGGGCCAGCGGGAAGGCCGCCCAGGCCAGGCCGAAGCAGTAGCCAAAGCTGCCCTCGGTCCGTTTCAGGATCTCCTTGGCGTGGATGCTGTAGATGAGCGCTCCTGTGAACACCGCCACGCCTGAAACAAGACAAATCACAAGTCAGGCAAGACTAGCAAAAGACTACAGTTCCCATGAGCCCCAGGGGCTAAGAAGCCACTGAAGGGCAAAGGTGCAGCTCTGCTGCCTGCTGGGAGTTGTAGTTCAGGGCCCCTCCCACTACTCCATCTATATAGACTACCTACAGCCTGGGTTTGGACATTTTCTTTCATCTCTTAGGGTCTCCGTTTACTCATTAATAAGATGAGACTATAGTGTATATTCATTCATACCAACCACGTAAATAGTAAATTAATAAAACCAATTTAGTTCCACAAACTGAGGACAACGATTAACTGAGCCCTGGTGTTGCGGTGGCTAATTTTTTAGTGGTTCAAACCCCCCAGTCGCTCTTTGGAAGAAAGACGTAGCAGTCTGTTTCTGTAAGATGGATTGTTGTTGTTGTTAAGTGCCGTCGAGTCGTAGGCGACTCATAGCGACCCTGTGAACGAAAGTCCTGGACACCTGTATAACTTCCGTCCTTTCTCCAGATTCATAGGGTTTCCAGAGGCAAGCTATTATGGAAGTGGATGCTACTCCTGCTTCCAAACTTGTTTTAATCGGGGAGCTCCACCAAACACTGTCCACCATTAACGCATTTGATACATCGGTGTCACAGTGTTCAGCTTCACAGCAACCACGAGTTATCTCTGTACAACAAGTGGACATACCAGGGTTGCACGACCTAGAAGGATGTTTCACCAAAAACAATTAAAGGCTGGCCCTCGGGCCCGATAGCATTTTAAGCTAGCACCTGGAGCAGGCTTGACCCCACCCTTCCTTAAACTTACTCTAAGGGTTAGCGCTGCCCTAGCGTTGAAAAAAAACCCTCTGAGGAAGCTCTATCCTGTACTACCCTTTTCTCTAAGGCTGGAATCGATTGATTTATGATTAATTAAGCCATTCACACATGAAGTTAAAAAAAAAGTAGACAATCAATTTTCTCTGGAATGTCTAGTACACAGTCGTCCACACTTAACAGTAGCTGGCTGTCATAATATTGTACATTATGTTTAATACACGTACTTCAACTCCTATCAGGAATCCTTGATCAGCATTAAGGACTTGACTGCGGAGCGAGAGGCTAAGAGGTTAGTGGATAATCCACATAGAAAGGCAACCTGGTGGTGCAGCTGCTAAAGCAGTGGGCTGCTAACCCAAAGGGCCATTTGAGCCCACCAGCGGCTCTGTGGGAGAAAGATGTTTCTGTCCACGTCTGTCAAGCTTGACCGCCTTGGAAACCCTACAGACGGTTCTGCTCTGTCTCACAGGGTCACTACTAGTTGGAATGGACTCAGGGGCAGTGAGTAATCCACCCACAGGTGCCTGGGACTCTGCTTCTGAAAGGTCTCAGACTTGGAAACGCAATGCAGTTCTCATCTACATATAATTAATTCCAAGAGTTGGAATCGACTTGATGGCAACCCTTTTTTTTTCCCCCCGGTGGGTATTATGATTTATATATTCTTTGATTTATTTATAATCCCTTGCCATCTCTGAGACCCAAATTGTATGCCAACAATCCTTTCTCCAGTCCAGAATTCTCGAAGTTTTACCTGCCAGCTTCATTTTGCCCAGGAACCCAATTTAATTGTGGTTAAATTGACCACAGTTTAACGAAAAAGCTCAAATTCCCGGACTTCAAGTCAATCCAATTCACAGCGACCTTCCATTGGGTTTCTGAGCTCAATTGGAGGGGGGTTCGCCCATATTTCTGCTTTTTTTCCCCCTCCCATCTTTGCATTAACAGAGGAACTACGCCACGGGGGCTCCACTTAGTGGCTGGGAAAACTACAACTCCCATCAGCCCTCGGGGCAGACGGGTGGTCCTTGCACTTGTTGGGGATTGGAGGTGGTTTTCTTGCACTAGCTCTTCATTCCAGGACAGTCCCTGCGTCCTACCACGCCCCCTCCCTTTCCCTCGGTTCCCGCGGTGTCGTGCTCACTAGTGCAAAGCTGGCAGAAGCCTGTGGCGTAGAAAAGCCCTCCCCGCCGCATGGTATACAGCTGGAACATAAACAGGATGAAGGAGAGGCAGCAGAGGATGAGGGAGAGCACCATGAGGACCTGTACCGCCTTCAGCCAGCCTGCAGAGGAGACAGAGGTGGGGTCACAGAGGGGTCCATAGTTACAGTCCCGGCTATTTGCACATCATTTGCCTTGCCTGTCTCCTCCCATTTGAAGCCATACCCCTTGGGTTATTTAAGCATAACACTTAAGTATTTATTTATCCTTTGTTGCCTATAACCTTGCCAAATTCTCGAGTCAGCTCTAATGACTGTTTTTCAAATTCTTTACAATTTTTCACATAAATATACACTCCCTTCGGGAATTAAAACAATTTTACTTCTTCCATCCCAATCCTCGCCTTGCTGCACTTGCTACCTTCACCATCTTGTGGACTAGAAATAGAATAATTTTTTTTCTTGACCTTGAAGGGTAAAAGCCTTTAGTTGTTTCACTTAGAATCTTGGGTGCACCTGGCTCCACCTCTTTAGAATCTTAGATGCACCTGCCCCGCCCCTTTAGAATCTTGACTATATCTGGCTCCACCCCTTTGGAACATTGGAAAGACTAATTTTTTTTATTTTATTCCCCCTCCCCTTGTTGTGTACTCTCGAATCATATCCGAATCAGATCTGACTGGCAGAGGGGGTGATTTCTCCAGTGGAGCATCTGGTGGATTCAAACCGCGTGCCTTCAGGATTGCAGCGCAGCTTCTTGCCACTAGGCCACCAGAGCTCCCTAGTCTCAGGTCCTTAAAAGCTTAATGTTGATCAAGTCCCAGCCCTTTAGAAGATTAATGTGGTTCAAGCATCTCCTTAAAACTTGGAGAAACTGATGTTAGCCGTGCATTCCGAATACCAACCATATTTGTTTGAAAACCTAGAAACATAATTCTATTTTCTCACAATCTTGGGGGGACCTCTGTACTCCTTCAGTCGAAAGCAAGTAGTCTCAGACCTTTGTGGATCATAAAGGGGGGAGCCACATAGCACCCCCATTTAAGAGCTTGCCTATTTCCCCACCTCTACCCAGATGAGCGGAGCTGCCTCTGGCTGTCCCACTAAAAAACTAGGGGTTCCCCATCCTTAGTCCCAGCCACCAGTGGGTCTGTCCCCCACTCCTCACCGTTGTCGCTGACATTACTGCAGGACCACGCTTCTGTGGTACCGTTCCATTTACAGTCATACCATAGATTCAAGGACTCCTGCCCAGGCAGTGTCCACCAGGACTGGAGTGGACATAGAAAAGAGGGCGGGGTTAGGAAAGGACACTGGGCAGGGCCTCCGTGAGGAGCCTGTTGTGGGGAGTGCCAGGAGAAGGATGAAGTGATGGACAAAGGCACAGATGGAGATGACTGGGCCAGAGCAAAGGGCCTATGCAGGTTAAATGGAAGCGGGGGCGGGGGGGCGGAGAAGGGCGGCAGAGTGAATTTAGAGGAGGGCGTGGCCAGGTCCACAGGCCCTGGGAGATGCTTACCTTGTCCAAAGTGGCCACGAAAAGCAGGATGAGAATAAGGATGTGAAGGGCTGAGACCACCAACAGGAGGAGAGACATAGCTGTGGGAGAGTCCTGGGGGGAAGGAGGCAAGAGAAGGGGTACTCATTGATAGAACTGGGGGGGCGAGCCCCTTGAATTCTGCTGTAGAGGGGTGGGAGGTCCAGGCTCCTGGGTCTGAAGGACAAAGGGGCTGGGGGCCTGGACTCTTGGGTCTGAGAAAGGAAGAGTTGGGGGCCTGGACTCCTGTGTATGAGGGAGAATGGGGTTGGAAACTGGGATTTGAGGAGGTGAGTGAGACTCCTGAATTTTGAGGTGAAAAAGATGGGACTTCTGAGTCTGAGGGAGAAAGGGGGGCTGCAGCCTGGATCCCTGAATCTGAGGGAGGAGGTGGGGCTGGAGGGAGACCCAGACTTCTGTGTCTGATGACAGGGGAGACTGGGGGACCCGGATTTCTGGGTCTGAGAGAGGAGAGGCTGAAAGGTTGGACTTCTGTTGGGACTAAGCATGAGACCCCCTCACTTCAACCTCTGATCCTAGACATACTATAGGGACCAGGCTAGGAATCTTCAAACTGACACTCTCCACATTCCTGGGGTGCTAGAGGCTGTCCCCAGGGATGTGCATCCTTGACTCACTCCACTCCTTTCCTGGGGTGGGGGAGGGTGGGGTGGAGGGGGACCCAGTGACTCATATGGTGACTCATACCCTCCCCCCCACTTAGCACCAGGGAAACCCCAGCCCCTGACTGTGCCCATGAGGTCCCCACCCCACGGTTGCTGCCCATTTGGAGCCCGCTGGACACCTGGGTCTTTTGTGGGGATATGGACCAAAAAATAGTACTTATGGGGCAAGAGACAGCTCCCCAGACGCTTTCTCAGTGTCCAGACACAAGGGAGGTTTGAGGCTGCTCAGACTTGGGGTGGTGTCAGGAGAACCCTCAGGGGAAGTGAGGACCCATGGAAGGAAAAAAAAAACAAAACCCAATAACCACCCTCACAGGAAGTTCTTGGGTTTTGAGGGCTCTTCTGGGACCCCCAGAAGCCTGCCCAGCCCCTCCTCTTCCCTTCCCGCATCCACTCTCCAAGTGCTAAGAGATCACTTTTTGAAATTCCGAGGATTTCTTTGGGGTTCAGCCTTGAAGCGAGGAGTCTTTCCCAAATGGCTGAACTCCACCACCACTTCCAACCCCCCTCAAGTCAGGAAAGAAATCCCAGCTAGAATAACGGACTGAAACTTACCGGGAACCGCGGAAAAAGTCCCAGTCGGAGCCCGGTTCCTCGCTAGGGCCTCGGCGCCCCGCCCTTCGCCTCCCTCCTTCCACCCTCTCGAGGCCCCCGCCTCCCCTAGCTGCCTGCCTCCCCGGCTCGCTCTGCCCCCCTGGCTCACGCCCTCCTTCGCCCCTCCAAGTCTGGAACTCAACTCCTTCTCTTCCTCTTCTCTCTCCTTCGGCCTCTCTCTCCCTGGCCCCCCTGCCTTGAGTGTCCAGGCCTCCTCCTAGCTCTCTTGCAGCTTCTTGGTTGGTTTCCTTTCCTCTGCTCCTCTCAATATATACTGACCCTTTTATACCCACCCTAGCCGCACCCAGCTGAGGTCTGCAGCCTGAGGGAGGGCCCAAACACGCCGGTTCCTCCTTCTCCGGCCCCCACTCACTGCCCCTTGATGGGCATCTCTGTGGCTCCTTCCCCGCGTGGAGATGAGAAACCTCTCCGCTCAGCTTTGGGGAGCCCCCACCCCCACCCTGGCCAGGGGCTGCCTCTCTCTCTCTCTCTCTATCTCTCTCTCTCCCTGGATCCTTGCACTGTAGGAGAATCAGAAAGCAGACCCCTCTGGTACCACTTTGAGCCCATCCCAAAGCAAACTTGTTGCCTGTTGAGTAAATTCTGACTTCTGGTAACTCTGGTGGAATTTCTCCATGGCGTGTTCTTGACTGTGAGGCCAGAGCTCATGTGCGCTGGTGGCACAGTGGTTAAGCATTGGGCTGTTCCCTGAAAAGCTGGCCCTGGAAACCCACCCAGCCGCTGTGGGTGGAGGAAAACGGCTTCCGTGAAGATGTAGGTAGACGCACAGAGTTGGAAATGCTGTGGAGCTGTTCCCCTCCATCCAGTAGGGTCACTGAGAGTCAGAATTGACTCCACAACGATGAAGTTTAATCTTTATGGAGGAATATCACCAGGCCTTTCTTCTTTGGGGCTGGCGAGTGGATTCGAACCCCCAACCTTTTACTAGAAGTCAGGTACAAGCAGACTGGGACACCCAGGAACAATTAGTAGGGTGCAGGGGGCTGGACAATGGAATAGGTGAGACTCCAGAAGCGGCCAGGAGTGGAAAGTTAAGGTCTTGAAAAATCATGTTTGCAGGGAGCTCTGGTGGCCTAGTGGCATGAAGCTGCACTGCAATCCCAGAGAGGTGCGTGGTTTAAATCCACCAGAAGCTCTGCTGGAGAAGGAGGGGCAATCTCAGTCTCTTCCTGTATCAGTCAAATCTGATTTGACTGTACACACACAAAAAAAAAAAAAGAAAGAAAAGAAAAGAAAAGAAAGACAATAATGTTTGTGCAGAAGCAGATACGTGCTGCCCAGAGAACCGGGTTCCTTAGTAGCCCCTGGAGACTGTAATGGCCATGTAGGCTTGGCTGTTAAGTGCTCCATTATACTGGCCTACCTCTCCACTTGTCCCTGGCCAGCAGCGTGGATACCGGCATAACACGATTGGCAAACCTCATGCGTTCCCTGTAAGGTGACCTGGGATTGTGGCTCTGTGTTGGTGCACCCCATCCTTGCACCCCGAAGTACTGGAATTATCTAGGCTTCCGTGCCCAAGAAGCTGCTGCTGATGGCTGGAATTGACAGCTGCCAAGGACTGCTACTTTGCCAAGGCCACCTTTGATGCCATCTCCAAGCCCTACAGCTATGTGAGTTTGGACCTCTGGAAAGAGACCATGTCCACCTAGTCTCCCTATCACGAATTCACTGACCATCTTGTAAAGACCTACACCAGAGCCTCTGTGCAGAGGATCGGACTCCAGCTGTGGCCACCACACAGTGGGTTGTTGTTGTTGTTGTTATTTTGTGTGTACCATCAAACTGGATCTGACTGGTACAGGAAGAGATTGCCACTCCTTCTTCAGCAGAGCATCTGGTAGATTTGAACCACAGACCTCTGGGATTGCAGTGCAGCTTCTTGCCACTAGGCCACCAGAGCTCCTTCACATGGTGGGTTTTATATGACAGAAATGCAACTAATCAGTTTTTTAAAAATAATTCCAGCTTCTTTATTTCCTGGTTGAGAGATCTTAAACCAATACCTCTTATACCTCTCTGGGACCAGTTCCCTTTTGTCTTATGTGGTTATAAGGACGATAACATTGATAACAATAAGGAATGATGGTAGGATAATTCTGGTCCTGTTACACAGATTGAAGGCGGTAATAAGAGTGCCCTCCCTTACCTAACAGTAGAGAATGCGAGGGTGGCACAGAACTGGGCATTGTTTGGTTCTGTTGTGCACAGAATCACGATGAGGAACTGAAGCCTTACAACAAACTAGCAGCCACACCTAACTCATCCCTTTCTTCCTCCAAAAACCATTTCTTGAACATCTCCTCTGAACCAGGAGCTCATCAGAAACAAAACTCCAAACAGTCACACTATCATGCCAATTCCTACCCAGAGTGAGCTGTGGGCAGAGCAGAACAGCCCACAGAGTTTCCAAGGCTGTAAATCCAGGAGCAGACTGTCTCCTCTTTCTCCCTGGGAGCAGCTGGTGGGTTCCAACTGCACCCCAAGGGGCTCCTTGTAAAGAGCAAAATTGATGATGATGTTATTGTGGAGTATATCTTCTGGTACAGGGAGAGAGAGAGCAAGAGGAAAACAGACTAAGATAGATTGCAGATGACGATATGCACATTGCAGGAAATGAAAGAAGAGTGATGGAGATTATGATGGGGAGAGAAAGGCTACATTAAACAGGGGGTGGGGGGAGGCCCCTCTGAAGAGGTGACGCCTGAGCTGAGACCTGAAAACAAGAGTCATTTGAATGCTGGGAGGAAGAGGAAACGGCTATCAGAGGCTCTGGAGAGAACAAGCTTAGGTTGTTGAGGGAACAGACAGAGAGCCTGTGTGGCAGGAGCTCCGAGCCCGAGGGAGTGGCGTAAAAAGAAGTCAAAGGGAGCCCTTGAAGGCCCTGGGAGGGGTTTGGATTTTTTTTTTCTCAATGCAGTTGGATGTCGTTGGAGGGCTTTGAAAAAGAAGAGTTATATGATCTGTGTAGTTCCAGGGCTTATACGCTAATAAAAATAATAATTATTATTGCTTGTACTTTAATTTAGGATGCAGAAGTAAGGTTTCTTTTTTTGATGAAATAGAGATGAAAACTGTATCTCCTCCTTGTCTTATTTTTTTAGCAGGGTGCCTGGACACAGTGAGCTTCGTGTGTTCGCTGATAAAACCAGAAAGCTGGGGGTCTGGAGTGGATTCTGGGCAGAGGGACGTAGGTGGAGGGCTCTAGGATTTGGAGAAGAGGCAGATCTATGGGGGGAAAGTTAAAATTGAGTCTAAAATGAGGAAGGGTACCTGGAGGTGGGAGATAGGTGCTCCCAAACTTAAGTCTCTGCTAGAGACAAAGTGGAGGTTTGAACCTTGATCTTCAAGGGAGTTTGAAGGTTTGTGTCACTAAAGGAAAAAATTAGGGCCTTAGAGAGGGTCATATGGTTCCTCACGGAATGCAGAGAAGGGGGGGTGCTGGTGCAGGATCCTGAGAACAGTGAGGGATCCAGGACTAAGATGGAAACTTGAATGATGTGGAGACTAGCAAGCAGCAGGGAGGATCCGAATCAAGGGAAATAAGCACCAGCCTTGAGGGTTCCAAGGGGACATTAGGGGGTGTCCCATGTCAGGCCTCCGTGGAATGGGGCGTGCGAGGATGAAGGTGAGGATCTCCCCCTCCAGGGCCTCCGAGCAGAGCTGAGCGCCCGCGGGCCGCTTCCTCCCACAGGAAACCGCAGGCGGCGGGCACACCCAGCCTGCAGGGAGCGGCGCCCACTGCTAGCCCGCCCCGGGAGGCCCACGTGGGCTGCGGACTGTCACGGAGGGGGCGTGCCCTGCAAAAGGGGGGCGTGTCCTGTGGTGGGGGAGTGGCCAGCACGCTGAGGCTCCACCTACATCCCCGTCTCCGTGTGCGACTGCGCGGCCCATGGCTTTTTGGCGGGTTGGCTGGAGGCCGTTGACTGCGCATGCGTCTTCGTGAGCCGCTGCTACGAGGATCTGAAGCGGTGAGCGCTCCCTTACGATTCTGGGCATCGGCACCACCTTCCTGCCAATGGATCCTAAAAAGAACGTGACCTTAATCAGCTTAAAAGTCACCTCTCGGACCCTGTCTTGAAAGAACTCAGCCTAGCTCTAAAACTCTTCCAGCGCCTTTTAGATGTTTACCTCCTAATCCGATCTCTCCCCGAAACACAGGGATCGCCCTTGCCCTTCGTAATATTACTCTCCTCTCCATTTCTTGAGCTTGAGAGAGTAAAAATAAGCCCCGCCTTCATGGTTCGAGCCACGCCCCCTAGGCACGCCCTTCACAGCCGATACATCACCCCTCTACAAATGACCACCGCCCTTCAAAGCCTCAATCCTGCTCCTCTGGGGCTTGGTCCCTCTCCTGTCCCTCCCAGCCTCCTCCAGGGCCCTCCTAGTCCTGCCCCTCTCTGGTCCTCCCAGCCTTGCCCCTCCCTGATCTTCCTGGCCGCGCCCCCCAAGATACCTCGCCCCCCTCCCCCCAGTTCCCGCCCCTCTCTGGCCCTCCCAATTCTGCCCCTGGCCAAGGGTCCTTCTAGCCACACCTCTCATAGCTCACCCAGTGACTCCCAAATCCTCGCCTCCCTCCCCGAGCCTTCCCCTAATCTGTTCTGATTCTCCCCCTTTTCAGCCCTGCAGCTCCCCGTCTCCACCCTCAGCCTCTCCCGCGCGATCTCAGTCCCTCCCTACTCACTCTCCCAAGTCCTCATTGGCCTGTCATCTCCCCAGTAACCAGACCACAACAGTGAACTCAGAGCACCAAGAAGGCAGGCACCCGGGCAGGTAGGGTCTGGACTTGGCCCCCTTACAGCCGCCCAGGGTCCTCTTCTATGCTTCCACCACATTAAACCCTTCCATCGTTTCGATATACTGCGCTGTGGCCTTTGCCAGGCTTGGAGCCTGGAAGCAAAACCAGACCACGTGCGCAGTGGGACGGGGAGGAGCGTGGGAACAGCCCAAGCTGGCTCTGGAGTCACCCCTGACCCCCAATCCCAGTCCCTCCCCACCCTCTGGTCCAGCCCTCCTGCAATCTGACCAGTGCTGTGTCGCCCCCCACTCTCCAGGAGCCCCCCCCCCACTCGCCATGGCCAAGATGCGTTTGGGGCGCTCAGCTATGAGCGCCCCCTCCGAGGACAGCGAGGGCCTCCTGGACGGAGCGGGTAGGGTGACTCCTGCGTTCTTGCGTCTGTAAGGAGGGTTGCTTGCTGGGCTGCTAATTGAAAGGTGGACAGTTCGATCCCACCAGCCGCTCAGAGCTGGGTCCTCTCCTTTCAGTCAAGATTTACAGTCTCAGGAACTCTGTGGCCTTCAGGGTTAGGATTCATCGGAACCACTCGTCGCAGGCAGTGGTTTGGTTTGAGGTTTGGGTTTTCTTGGTTCATTTCCAGAGCTGAGGTTCCAGGCGCTGGGGGACAAGTGCGCCCTCTAGTGAGGAGCCGACCCGATAGGAATGATGGGGCCAATTGTGCAGGAGTTTAAGTGCAGAGACATTTAGGTGGGACCCAGGACTCCTGTTCGTGGGAGCAGGAATGTGAGGGTGTTTCAAAGGGAACCCCAGCCTAGAGCATAGGTCTTCCACCTTGGGGTTGAAGATTTCTTTATTGGAGAGGTGCTGCGCTCTGCTTGGGGACCCTGGTGACGCGGTGGTTATGCGCTTGGCAGCTAAGCACAAGGTCAATGATTTTGGAGCCCACTTTGGGAGAAGGAAGTGGCTTTTCGCGTCCGTAAAGATTTACAGCCTTGGCAATCCGATGGGCTTACAGAGTTGCTAGAGGGTGAAATTTACCAGAAGCTTAGAGTCCCAGGAAGCGCACTGGTGGTGCTCTTTTTTTTTAAAAAAAAATATATTTTATTATTTTTGTGTGAGTGTACCATCAAATCACATCTGACTGGTACAGGAGGAGATTGTCCCCCCTTCCCCAGCAGAGCATCTGGTGGATTCGAACCGTGGACCTCTAGGCTTGTAGTTGCAGCTCCTTGCCACTAGGCCACCAGAGCTTTCCTGGTGGTGCTCTTTTATGAAAAGGTTGGTGGTTCAAGCTCACCAGCTGCTCTGCGGGAGAAAGATGAGGCAGTCTGCTTCCGTAAATATGACCCCCTTGGAAACCCCATGGGACATTTCCACTCACTGTGTCCTACAGGGTCCTTAAGAGGTCATATCAACTCGAAAGCAATGTGTTTGGTGTTCTATTTGGACCCGTGTTTTGCAAGACGCTTAACAGCATCACCGATCTCAATACAAAAGTTCAGAGTAGCAATCACCCCTCTGCTCCCCAGGGGTAACCCTAAAAATATTGGGGTGCTGGAGACCAAATCAGTCCTGGTTGAGAACCATCAGGTTAAAGTGCTTTTGAGGTTGCAGACATGAGAAGTCAGGTGATGTGGGGCCTTGGTGCTGGGGTGCTGGGGAGAATTGGGGAGCAGGGAAACAGGGTCTGCTGCTCTCAGTGTGGGACCCCCTTGGGGGGGCTGTGAGGGGAGGTGGAGGCTGGCTAATGGTTCTGGCAGGAGTTGAGGGTATTGAGTGGAGAGGATGAGTCAGGAGGAGAGATGGAGGCCAGGCCGATGGTGGGGGCGAGGTCAAGGTTCTAGGGGCCCAAGGGGTGGGAGGGGACTGTCCTCCCAAATTTCAAAGCAGGTGATTAAAAAGCTACCCCAGGAGCGCCCTCTAGTGGACAGTAATCGCATGTCCAAACCCAGTGCCGCTGGGGCCCTGGGACCAGAAAGGCCGCCCGGGAGCGCCCTCTAGTGGGCATCAGTCGCGTGCCCAAACCCGAGCTCCCAGCAAGTTTAAGGGCAAAGAAGTAAGTCGTTTGCGTCCCAGCAGAAAGGGGTGCAGGGAGCTACAGAGTGAACCCAGATGCAGCCCCAATTCCGGCGGGGGGGGGCTGGGTCTGCAGCGGCCGTTTGTGGGACCCAAACAGGTTTAGGATTCCGGGGGTCCTGGGTGGGACGTAAGGGCCCAGTTTCCCTGAGCCCCTTGCCCGGACCCACCCTCAGTGGAAGGGGAGCTGAGTCGCCTGCAGAGACAATGCAAAGTGATGGAAGGCGAGAGACGGGCTTACAGCAAGGAAGTGCATCAGCGCATCAAGAAGCAACTGTGAGCCCTACGCCTGGGTCCCCTGGGACTGGGGATGCGTGCAGGGGGAGCTGGCCCCACGTCCTCACCGCCCCACCCTCCACCCTCCCGGGCAGGGAGGAGATCCGGAGCCTGGAGGAGCGGCGCACGGGCCTGCAAGTGCAGATCAGCATCGCGCAGAGTCAGGTGAAGCGGCTGCAGGACAGCCAGCGGCTGGAGCGCATGAGCCAGCTGCTCAAGTGCCGCGGGCAGGTGCAGGAGGAGGTGGACGAGCTGCAGAAGCAGGCCAAAGCCCTGGACGCGAAGGTGGGTCCCGAGCCTCAGGAGCCCGCCACCTCAGCCCTCCCAGCCTCATCCGAGAAATGGGCCGATGCACCCACCCGCTGGGGCTGCACAGGTGCCCTGGTGGTGCAATGCTGAAGAGGTTGGCCGAGGGTTTCTTTAAAGGTTAAACCAAGCTGCGCTGCAATCCCAAAGGCGCGTGGTTCGAATCCACCCCGTGCTCCGCTGGAAAAGGAGAGGCAATCTCCTCCTGTACCAGTCAGATCCGATTTGACGTTACACACACACACACACACACACACACACACACACACACAAATTAAATAAAAATAGTAAAGATGAAACCAAACCAAATCTACTGCCATGGGCTGAGTCTGACTTTTAGACATCTGTAGGACAGAGCAGAATGCCTCACAAAGTTCCCAGGGCTGTATAATCTCAGGGGTGAACAGCCTCACCTTTCTTGAAGAGCAGGTAGGAGCCCAACACGTTAACCACTGCACCACCAGCTCCCCTTCAGTGGAGGTTACAGCCTTAGAAATCCTGTCATGGCATGGCTACATGGGTAAGGCGTTCAGGTGCCAAAGACTCGCAGTTCAAATCCACCAGCTTCTCATGAGGAGAAAGATGGGTATTCAGAGAACCCACTGGCGGGAAAGCTACGAGTCAGTTCTGACTCGAAGGCAATTCGTGAGGGAGTGATGAGCGTCACCGTGTTGGATTGCCTGTTGGGCGGCAAAAAAAAGGTCATTGGTTCTAATTCACCCACCCGCTCCCTGGGCCAAAGACAAGGCAGACAGTCTGCTGCTGCTAAGCTTTCCAGCCTCGGAAGCCAGATGGAGGGTGGTCAGGAGTTTGAACGGACTCATCTGGCCGTGAGCTTAGCAGTTAAAGGTTGACAACTTAGCTCCATCCAGGAGAATCACGGAAGAAAGGCCTGGCAATCTGTGTCTGTAACGATGACCAGGCAGAAAGGACAGGGCAGGAGTTCTGCTCACGAGCCCGTGATGTTGTTATGAGTCGGTCAGGCCTCTGTGAAAGTGGGTTTGGTTGGGTTTGGTTTGGGTTATAGGTTACGTTTCTTTAGCTGCAAAGAGGATACACCCTCTGGGTGGATCTGTTTGCCTGGGTCACTAATCCCATCTCCCTGGGACCTTGCTGGTTGACCTAAGAAACAGTTCTGCTTTTCTAGGCTAGTGAACTTTCAAGGTTTCCTTCTCCCCCCGACCCCCAACCATGACTCACTGAGACCCGTTTGTACACACAGCGTTACTGACACATCTTAGATAGACACATAGTTCTGGAGTAAAGAGGTCACCAAATAATACCCTAATTTTCCTTATATGAGATTAGTTCTATTATTTTCTTTGTTATTTTTATCGATTCTCCTTTATATGAGATTGTTGTTGTTGATGTGTACCATAGAGTCAGAACTGACCCAGATTTGACTCTCTCACGGGTTTTCAGAGGCAGTTAATCACGTGGGAGGAGACTGCCCATCCTTCTCCCGTGGAGCAGCTGGTGGCCTCGAACTCTGTGCCTTCGGGACTACAGTGCAGCTTCTTGCCAATATATGAAATTAGTTCTGTTTTATTATTTTATTTTATACCATCAAATCAGATCTGATTGGTACAGGAGGAGATTGTCCTTCTCCAGCAGAGCATCTGGTGGATTTGAACTGTGCACCTCTGGGATTGCAGTGCAGCTTCTTGCCACTAGGCCACCAGAGTTCCCTATTTTTTTGTTATTCTTATGCATTCTGCTATTTTATTCTCACTTTTTTTTTTTTAAAAAAAAAGCTCTTGTGAGGGAGCCCTGGTGACCTAGTGGCAAGAAGCTGCACTGCAATCCCCCAGAGGTGTGCAGTTCGAATCCATCAGATGCTTTGCTGGAGAAGGAGGGGCAATCTCCTCCTGTACCAGTCAGATATATTTTGAGGGTACACACACACAAAATAATAATAATAATAATAATAATAATAATAATAAAAAAGCATTTTAGACCAAATAAGGAGCTGGCACAGTGTTACCCATTGCACTGCTAGACAAAAGGTCAATGGTTTGAATCCACTAGCTCCTCTTTTTATTTTTTTATTTTTTAACACCAGCTCCTTTTTAAAGCAAGCTGGGCAGGTACCTTCTGTTAGGTATTTACAGCCCGAGAAACCTCTCAGAAGGTTTCTCAACTTGACAGCATTGAGTTTGGCTTGGTTTTGGGGTTTGTTTTAGATCAGAGAAGAGGAGGCAGATTGTCAGTGAAATGAGTCGATGCAGAGGTCACAACAATGGGGTCCCACGTGGCTCGTGTCCTCCATGAAGACGGTATAGGACTGGCCAGTGTCTTGCTCTATTGTGCAAGGGGTTGTTGAGTAGGAGCTGACTTGGTGGCACAGAGCACCAAGGTGAATTAAGCCTTCTGTTCCAAACCAAAAGGTCAGTGGTTCAAACCCACCAGATTACTACTAGTCGTCATTACCTCACAGAGCCACTGGGTGGATTCAAACCACCAGCCTTTGTGTTAGCAGCTGAGTCTTTCCCATTGTTGTTGTTGTTGTGTGCTGTTGTGTGGGAACCGACCCATAGCTGACCCTCCAGTGGGTTTTTCAGACACAGGAGGAGAATGCTGATGCCCCCCTCCAGAGTTGTTGGCACAGGATTCGAACTGTGTGCCTTTGGGATTGCAGTGCAGCTTCTTACCATTCAGCCATCAGAGAGCCCTATCAAGAACTACCACCACAACAACCACAAAAATTATGCATTGTATCAACAGTACTAAGAGGTGGGAAGAGAAAGAGAAGGAGCAGTGAGAACTGTGTTGAAATGTTGCTGGAACTACAAGTCGTCACATAGATCTGGAAAGCAAAGTCTTGGTGGTGTAAGGATTTTAATGTTTGGCTGCCAACCCATGACAGATTTTAGAGTCTGTTCTACATTTATCCCCCTTTTGATGAGATTCTTCCATAGATTACTGGATCTAAATGTTCAGTGTTGGTAGGTAGGGGCATCAGTCTTTCTGGTCTTCTAGTAAAGGAGGCTGTTGAAAGAACTATGAATTGTGTACAAATAGCCCTTGCTTATGGATAGGAAGACTCAATAGTGTGAAAATGATAATCTTACCAGGAGCAATTTACACGTTCAATGCAATCCCAATACAAATACCAATTCCATTCTTCAACAAGATGGAAAAGACAATCTCCAATTTAATTTGGAATGGAAAGAGGCCGTGAATAAGCAAAGCACTCCTTAAAAAGAGAAACAAGGTAGCAGGCATCTTACTCCCCAATTTCAAATCCTACTGCACTGCCGTGGTGGCCAAGACAGCATGGTACTGGTACAATGACAGACACAATGGAATAGAATTGAGAGTCCAGAAAACAGCCCATCTACATATAGTCAACTGATTTTTGACAAGGAAATGAAATCAGTTAAGTGGGGAAAACAACATCCTTGTTAACAAATGGTGCTGGCAAAATTAGAAAATTATCTGCAAAAAACTCAAGCAAGATCCACACCTCACTCCATACACAAAA